TTCATGCTACCACCCCAAAACAGGTTTCCCTCCGCAGATCTGCAGCAGCTTAGCCGCCGCTTTGAGTGCCACTGAAAACAAGTTTTAAACCATACTGTTGTCGCCGACTCTTTCACCTTCCTGTTCCCTCACCTTCCTTCTCAACGTGGGAATTGAGTTAACAGCAAACCAATGTCAGAGTGTGTGTGAGGCATAACTATTTCACCCATCTACATCAGACCTTGGAGAGAAATCCGTGGAAGACGACCAAGACATCGCCAGCATCGTGGCACGCCCCAAGGATCCTAGCACGACTTCTCTAAAGTGCAACATGCCTCTCTCTATTGCAAGATTCAGTCCGGTCCTGCATGTTTGCATCTCTTACATGTACCAAAATATGTGGTTCTTCCGCTATTCCTTGACCACTTACTTCTATTCTTGTGCCTGCCTGTTGCCGTTTCTCGTCTTGGCTTTTCTGTGTTTCAATTTCTGGGGTTAAGGCTCCTGGCTCGAGAATTACAATATACAAGCCAGTCAGGAAAGCAAGTCAAGAAGGCAAAAACCTGAGAATGAAGAACAAGATCGGTCAGTGGTTGAAAGTGAAGATAAGGAAGCTAGGGTGGAGTGGAATGTATGGAAAATGGAAGGGTGGAGTCATTAATTCACCCTCTGCACTGCTCTCTGGGAGGCAGGTGCACAAGCTGCCAACACAAATTGGCCAAAAACAGGCCTCTCCTGCTGAAGTCCTGGGCACTGCCATTTAGAGTGGCCTGCATTTGAGTTGGCTGCTTTTCCATGTGTTGCGGGCTTCGCAGCTCGCCTTCTCCTCCGCAAACACCACCCCAGAAGCTTGGCAAGCTTCTGTTGCATTTTGCCCTGTACCTATTGCACAAGCTTTTTTGCACATCGAAAGCATCTGTGTGTGAGAAGATAAGTCTGCAGTGCGATTCAAATAACGCATTGTTCTGGAGCACTGTGAAACTAAATGCGGTGCTGTCTTGGTGTGGCCACGACTACCACATGCCTCACAAAATGTTATGCAGAGTCTTGCACAATGCACTTCAGGTGACACCAACTTGTTTGCTCTCGGCCTCACAGACTGGGCACCAACTCCGCATGCGCTCCGGCAAAGCTGAAAAACCTGCCAAAGTTGCCCTACAAAAGATCTGCATCGCGCCACAGGAAGCTCAGAGTTGGAATAGTCTCCCTTTGGCCTGCTCCGCTGTGCGCGAAAGATGGAGAAAGTGTCACAGGGAGTGATCGACTTTCAGCACTCTGGTGCTGCTGCCTCAGAGCAACAAGTGTGTGGGATTCGAAAACGTGGAGTTTGGCAAATATCCATAGTGTTGTTTTTTCTGAGACTGATGCTCTGCTTCTGCTTCGATCAAAGCATCAATGAGGCCTTGCAATCTAGAGGTTCAGGTTCCCTGAAATGGTTCAAATCAACAGCACAGTGAGCATCAGCGCTTGACAGTACTCTGTCTCTGTCTGCATCTGCTAGTCTCGGTGTCTCTGTGGGAGCCCGGCAATTTGCTGCATCTTGCGAGGGTGCGGCGCCTGACATCTGCAAGGCCACCAGTACCTGAGATGGAACAAATGACTCAGCGAGCCCCCTTTACGGTGACAATCCATGAAAAGGATCTAAGGGACTTCTTTTTTCCAAAGCAGCTCTTCAAACAAAGCTGAATGGGAGATACATGAGTTCAATTCTGAAATGCTAGTAGGTTGGAGGCAATCGCTGGTAGGTTGGAGGCCATCGCTAGGAGGTTAGAGGCCATCGCTGGTAGATTGGATGCCATTGCTAGTAGGTTGGAGGCCATTGCCATTACTATTAGATTGAAACCATTGCTATAGAAATCAACGAAAAAAAGAACCTCCTAGCTTACATATCTCACGTCTCACCTCCTGGCGAGTGCAGCGCTGCCTTCTCCGGCATTGAAAGCTTTGCACCGCCTAAAGCGGTCCACCGAAGACATCGTGAAATGGTCACGGTCAGGGGACGAATTCAATCAAGCCTCCCATGCTGCCCGCTCCAATGAAGTGTCGCATCCAGGCTTACCCAGGATGGAAACAAACGCAGAGAAATCCTGCGCAAGGTTTAAATTTGTATATAGGCGTTTCTACTTCTCTTCATAAGCCTTTCTGGGCGCGTCATGGTGCATCTGCTCCTCTTCACCCTGCCCAGGACCACCAGCAGCACGTAGCAGCTTGGACAAACCACCCTCATCATCCAGAGGATCACGAACCTACGAGATTAATCGCTGTCCAAATCAACAGTTAAAATGACTCTCTCGCTGAAAGCTTGGCTTCAACATGCCTTCCATTCGGGTTCCTTCAACCTGGCCTCAAAGGCCAAGGTCTGGACTGGCTGTCTCGGGTAAGCCCAATTGGCCTCTATCCTTGGTCAAACGCTCTAGCGAGTCTTGCAATCTCGTTGCAAAGCTGGTAGCTTTTTGCTCCTAGTAGTAATGCCAGGAACTACTAGTAGCTTAGTAGCAATGCTCTTTGTTACTAGTAGATTTTTGCTCCTAGCCAAGCTTCGAATTCCAAGAGTCAGAGCGCATACCTGGGTGAATCGGCTAAAGCTGCGGCGTTGATGAGAGTATTATCATGTGAGTCTATCAGCCTATAATAAGTAGTACCAAGTCACCAATGCTGATCAGCCGGTCGCCTTCTTTGACACCCGCACGTTGCGCTGGTCCATCTTGGATGTCAGTTGCGTGCTGCTACTGCAAGAAACTCTTTCTTACATTTTCACATCCTGGGAAGCTAACAACGTGAGATGCTGAAAAAGAAATCACTTCAATTGTCATTAGCAGCAACCATCAGCGTTGTTGAGGGTAAATAGATCAGATTGGTTAGAATAGTAGACCAGGTTCAACAAATCAATTCCATGTTACAGTACTATTCTTGTCGTATGTCTAAAATGATCCTGTTCTAGTCCTTTGTAAGGACCAAGAATGTTTCTTGAAACTAATGTGCATGCTGTGCTGAATGTCTTGGACTGACTACCTCTTCCTACTAACAAGATCTAGCAAGAATGCTTTTTGAGTACTGGGTAGTCATCTTTTTACGTCCTTTCACATTTCACTCAGGTCGCCTTCAGACACAGCTGCAACAACCAACTCCATGATCTCCTCCAGGCGGCAGCTTGGCATGCCATCCACCAGACTCAGCTGAACTGAGTGAGAAACAGAACCATGTGAAACATAGTGAAACCATGGGAAACCAGCCAAGTTTAGAAAGCTTTGCTAAGAGAGGGACCGGTGTATGCACCTTGCAGTGCATTCTTTGACAAGTTGGCATGTCCAACAAAGATCAACGAAACACAATCTCGTGAAGTTTAGGCCGTGGAACGCTTGGAAGAAAGCTTGGTCGTCAGGAAGACGAGTAGTAAGAGAAGCTGCTACATACAAGGACACAGCAGAAGAACCCTCCCTGGACAAAATGTTCCCTAGATGTTAAGGGAAATAGCTCTATTTGGGCCTTTGTTGCGGTGCTTCGTAGACTTGTACGTCGCACTGCCAATCGAACGGCATTGGATACTCCACCATGACCTCTGTCAGGAAATAAGGCAACGCGAAGCAAGGCAAGTCATTGACTCTGACTGAAGGATAGAGTTGTAATTTGTGAACGGCATATAAATCACAAGTGTTGTTGGAATTTGGAATACTCACACAAAAGAAAAGTGCAGGCAGGTCATGTTCCATTATATTAAACTCCTGGATTGTGAGTAGCAATGTACAGATGTAGGGTTGAGGTTGACGTGAGCCAGAATTCGAACAGTTGGTCAGTCGAGCCACGCAGCGAGGACCCGGGGAGCTTTTGACAGCATGCCATTCTTCGACAACCTCTGCAAAGTACTGGTTGGCGATGGCAACGCGCTTCCTTTCGCAGGTGATCTGTTTGCAGAGGGTCTCAACAAAAGAATGTGAAATAGTGTCCTCCCAGGCAGGCATCCTCCAAGACATATTGACATGATTGTTATGATTCTGTCACAGATTGTTTACAGTTCTATCTCCTCAAGAGAAGGGTTCCAGAATCCTCCACAACACTGCCGGTGCCAGTGTGCCTCGTATTATACTTGGTTTGTTTTTGCTGCCGTTGGGTAGGGTTGTATGAACCTCCCAAAGCCCTTTTTGTGCAAGTAATCTCACATAGCTGTCATTATCATGTAAGGCCAATCTCTCTTCTATTCTGAAAACTCTGCTCTGTTGAATTGTGCTGTCATACCAAGTGTTCAGTTGCAGCCTTTCTACCAATCACGGTATTCATATGTCTGCAACTTCTCAAGCAGTTGATTTTGGTTCTCGGCTTGTTAGCGCACTTGATTGCTCACTTCAAGCTGGGACACACCAAACTACCACATTCTTTGAATGCCTCATGTTTCTCTTCATTCAAAGCCATGCTTCTTAAAGGTCTTCAGCAGGAACGGGTCACAGTCAGGTGGTAAATCTTCTCCCTTCTGCCGGCATCTTTGTCGTTCCTCCAGAGGCTCAGGTGCTCGTGGAGGGATCGTGCGATCATGCAAAACGCTGGAGGCCATCGCTACTAGGGGAGGCCCTGTCCAGTGGACCTTGAAGACCTCTTTCATCTTCTGTGCAGTGGCCTTGCTGTAGACCATTTGCAGCGCAAGCCTTTCAAGCACTGAAATTGAACAGCCATCAAGGCCATCAAGGCCATCAAGAATCATCAAGACCGAGACCTCTTTCACAGGTTCAAAGCCTTCATGTCTCCCAAACTGTGAAAGGTTTCGGCCCTAAATCGAATAACCAATGATGACACAGCACCTAAATTTTTTTCAGCGCACCTAACACTTCCTTCGTCCAGACCTTGCACCAGGCAAGCCAAGGTCTTTTCGAAGCTGGTTGCCCTGTCACAAAGAAATCGCGAACTAAGAGCAATGGCCTCCAACCTAGAAGCGATGGCTTCCACCGATGGCCTGCAACCTAATAGCGTGGCCTCCAACCTAATAGTGCTACCTGCCGCCTGCTAAGCACTGTTGCACTCCTCGCAAACGGTTGGACAAGTGTAATAGTGATTGCCTCTGCGCTTCAGCTGCCTTGCTTTGCCTTTGCTGGATTGTGGAGTTTTCTGCTGTTTTGCATTCTGCACTGGGCTATCCGACAACCTTGGCATTAACGTCCTTGCAAAGGAGGTTGAATTGGACCTGAGTGTCATCTGATTTCAGAGTGGGCCAATGATGAAAACTGATCTCTCACGCATCTACATCAACAAGGGAGTTCTTTGGCAGGCCCTGTCGTTTCGTTTCGCACAAACACACTGCAGCAAATCCAACAACCATGGTCGCTTTTGACACAGAATCCTTTTGGACACACAATACCGGTATTGCCCCAAGCGGCCAGATGTGAACAAGGCCCAAGGTCCCTCTTCGCGCCCAACTCGTTGAGTCATTGCACTTTTTGGGACTGTAGTGTGTGTGTGTGTGTCACCACCTGTTCCAAAGGCATTCCGTTCCACTTCCCGTCAGACTTTTTGCAATCTCTTTCACTCTACCGACTCTGGACGTGTCTATGTACAGTTTTAGAGGGCTGCCAAGGTGAAGTCAGCAGGTTGGGAGGAGTTTGAAAGGATGTGCACAGCCCTTAAGGTGCACGCGTCACATGAGTAGAGGCAGTCTTGAATAGTGGCTGCGCTCACTTGTGCGGGTGGGTAGAGAACACCTGAAACGCAGGTCATGAGCCCAACACTCACGTCAGGCAAGGCAACGACAGGTCCTTGCTGGCCACTGTGCATCGTGGAATGTCCTTGGAGTGGTGTCGAGCACGGGCGCGCCTGCACCTCGGTTTAGCTAGAAGCCTTGGTTAACGCCAGGTGGAAGGCTGAACTGAGGGGAAGGTTTGCGTAGCCGGCCCACCACCGGGCACTGGGGATGCGGGGCTTTGCATCCGGGGATGGAAAGGAGTTTCCCCACAAAAGAACTTGCAAGTTGCCACAGCCGGGGGGGAGCCACAAAGAAAGAAGCGAGCCTGGCAAAGAAAGCAGAACTTCAGTCCAATATTGACCACGCTGGAATTTTTAAGCTGTCATCGGGAGTTGCCCTTGTTAAAACACCTTCAAATCTGCGGACCCATCACCTTTCCTTTTGCGCTTTTTTCAGTCAAGGTCTGATGCGTGTAAAGTGGGGCTTCATACTGATCCTAGCTCTTGCGAGCAACCATCTATAAGCGCGTATCGCCACAGAGTCGCACTGAGGGCTGTGGTGTGATCCCCGTCGAGGGGCGCTGCATGCGCATAGACCCAGATCCTGGCGGGGGATTTCTTTCCACCTCGGAACTTCGTTTGATCCTCACAGGCTTGACTGTTCTGCTCGATACCACTGATTATTTGCCGCAGGGCTTACTGAGATCAACTCCAGTTTGGAATCTCACGCGTGTGCATATCACATTCATTCAGCTAGGTAATCAAGGCCGGGCACATACATGTATAGGTCGATCATGTTCACTACCTTGCTTTGCCTGCCTTTCACCGGGACGCCATGAACTACCAGTGGATCCCTCAGGCTTCACCGATGACGAGTACCACGGCACCCTACGCACCCATTGACGGCTCCTTCGGCTCCTTATGGATCGATGCCAACAATGCCATTTCAAATCCGTGGCTTCAACCGCATATGAGCCACTCACCTCTTCAGTACACCTCGACTCTGACGCCTACCAGTTTGCCACCTCAGCTCGGATCTATGCCTACTACCCAACTCGTTCAGTCCCACATCGACTCAGTTGCGGGATGCGCTTAGCAATTGTTAAGAAGGGTGAAGCGCCAAACCCAACCGGAAGAAAGACCCACATTAGCAGAACATTGCCTTCTGCACACCGGACACGCAACTTTTTAACTCTCGCAACCCAGGAGTGGGGAGAAAGCGACCGGTCCAGCACAGCAAACCAGCCGTGCAAGGGTAGTAAAGGGAGGA